CTCTTTTGACGGTTCCCAGTTACAAGTAATACTATGACGACTACGCTTAATATCGCATACTTGGTGGTCATAGATGACACGGGTGGGACGGAATTCGAACAGAAAGAGTGAGTTATAACAGGTAGATAGCCCATTTTTTTTTTAGCAATGAAGTGGTGGTGAACAAAAGTAAAAGGAAAACTGGTAGCTGAGGAAGTACACTTCAAGACGGAATGATACAAATGATGTTATAGTACTAAACAAAGCTGTCAGGGGAAGGCGACCTCGCTTTGGAGTGTTCCCACATATCCGACTTCTACTTGTGATAGTCCTGGTGTTTAAAGCTGGTCCAAAAACCTAAGCGGAAACTTCAGAAGCTGATGTATAACCAGAATTCTCATCATACCACATTAGTTTGGCACTATTCTACCCCAATGAATTGCTTTCACTGATCTAAAAAGCCCTTAACCATGAGATATCAATCTATCAAATGACCGGCTCTGAACTCCAGCTCACGGAGGCTCTGAACTCCACCTATAGACTTAAAGTTTCCCACATGATCCAAAATGAAGGCAAAAGACGGTTTCGATAGAAAGAGCGAGTACAACAACGTAAGCAGACGATATCGTATTGTGTGGGATCGAGTTAGGTCATAACTGTCACTAAACGACTAGTAATTAAGGCAAGACGGCGAGGCTATGAGGGAACGCGGTATATGAGCAGCGTAGAGGAGTGGCCCGAGTATCCACCCGATCGCAGAAGATCTGATAGGCGCCCGAGATGGCCTTCCATCCAGTCGCACCGCAATTAGGTCATCCGTACAAAACTGGTTCAACCTCGGCGCAACGGTTGGCTACTGTAATGAATCACCGAGGAGGTAGCCGTGTAATGAAGATATTCCGGGGATTGTTAAGATTTGAAACGATGTCTTTGCGGCCACAAAAGTGCTGTCGGTCCCGTTGTGAGGGTTACTGTAGGCGGATACGGTGTGATTCTAGCTGAATTTTGTCTCCCTACAGCCAGCTTCGGAGGTTCTCGTAGCTGCTGCGCCTCGTACCAACAGGAGGGAAGCCTTTGCTCTTTCGATTCCTGATTCTGGGCTGTTAAATCGACTGTTCTTTACCAGATGCACTCGGACTGAATTGCGAGGTAACGGCGGGAATGGGATCCCTATGGAATTGGAGGTGAATCACGAGCATTCCGTAGTGTGTGATTAGGGATTTATTTTGCAAAATCTTCAGCAAAAACCAGATGACCTTCACCTTACCTTCCATTCTTGCCGTACCTTTACAGAAGTTCTGTGTTGGCAATCCATGGGTGAGTATCCCCAAACACTTGTCCGTCCTTGCACGAATATGAACATACAGCTACTTTACCCATATGGATCTCTTGGTATCCCTTAATCAATCGAATTTAAATTGACTCTTTCGTCTGCAATTTTTTTCGAATTGATAAAATACAAGCTCAATATGGGGTTGATTGAAGGCCAGCTGTCTTTCACCCTGACTGGCCCGATTGGGTAATAGAGTTATCGTCGAGGTGACATCGATCAGTGCTACGTACGGCACCGATAAAGATGTCGTCCTCAATGACCTGAACAAGGCCAACCAGCCAGTAAGTCGTCGTTCGTACGGGGTGTGATGAATGTCGTTCGGCCAGTCAACTCATCTCATTAAATGCTGAGCGGAACTTCACAATTTCACGAAACGGCGGAAAAGCCTTTTCAGTAGACCGCCTCTTGAGCGTTGCAGAGGGCCCGGCTATTTATGGTAGAGCTAAAAATGAAGACGAAGTCCAAGCTGATTCCCTAAAAAGCTGCAAGAAGGAGAAGTGGTACAAGTTGAGCCCTTCATTACCCCGCTGTTTATAGAGCTATCAACCCTATCTCTCTGTTTCTGGCTAACCCATTGCTACAGAAATCGGCTATAACTCCATTAAAGAGCCCCAAGCAGTTCAACCCCTAGTCTCGGCATATCGGCATTACTGGATGCTTCTCAGCCAGCAGGAGGGACGGAGAAATGTGTGCGGGTACGAATAGGAGTGGAAGTCACAGGTCGAGAGGCCTTAGACAGACTGGGTAAGGAAGGTAGAAGTGGGAACGAAGTTTATCACGAATGAATATAGTGCTCGTATGAAGGCGTTCCATTCTACCCATAGGTCCGATACGGTAAAAATGAGTAAACAGTTGAGCAAGGGTGGAGTTCGAACAAAAGGGATGACCTTGCCATTACGGAGTGATGGATGAACTGTAATGCGGTGAAGAAGTCCGTGTGAAAAACTGGCGATCGCTATCGTTTCAACGCCACTAACTTTACTCTGACGTTTTTTATAAAACTGTATAGCGCCAGCGATATTATCGCTAAAACAACGACCGTCTTCAGTTACTACGATGCTCCTGTAGTTTCCTGCCCATGATTGGATCGTGCCAAGAACTGGTCCACCTTAGAGTTTCAGCGTTTTTTCTCATAGATTCGAGGGGTTGAGTAAAAAATGGGTCGTGGTTTGGAAACTGTTGCAGAGACTTGAGTAAAAGGAACAGCTTATTTGTTGCAGTTGTGCTAGGATCGTAGGGAGAACAGAAGTCCCAAGACTTCGCACAAAGTGCCAAATTCTCTAATTGTGACCACCGAGTGGATAGCTTCACCCACTCGGTGGGTCCTGCTTCCAGACTGTGTCTATTGATCACTCTTTCAGTTTCTTTGCTAGTTGCGCCACGTGAACAGTCAATCGCTCTCTAGGTACACCTCCTAAGCTGGAGGAACGGATAAAATCAACGCGGGCTTCTATGTAAACTTTATTGGTCAAACTTCTTTTATCTTTTAAATCTACAACTATAATAATTACAAAGACGAACATTCTCACTTCTACAGAGATCTTCGATAAACAAACAAAATATCAAAGAGGTCAAAAGATGAGATATTGTTGCTAAGAGAAGGAATTTTGCGAAAGTAGCTCAGGATAAGAGAGTAGAAAAGGAAACTAATAGACTACCGAGACGGTGCCTGAAAACTTTCAAACGTTTGACTCTTTTCTTCGCCATTAACAGAGGCATACTTACTGGCATGCACATATATACTGGCTACTTGTAGATTAGCCTCTCCGTCTACCGGTTTCGACTTTTGTGTAGGTTAAGGCTGTTGTAGTCTACTCTACTTTTATAAGCGACGGGATCAGATTCTAAAAAGTCGACTTGGTTATACTCCTTGTTGAGGCAGTCTTTTGTTGCTGGATGACTGAAGCAGTGATTCAAACACAGGCTTCTCATCACCAATACTGCCTGGTTTTCAGAAACCTCTGAAATCGTGGCTAAAACTTTGAAGAAATGGAAAACAGCAACCACTCTGCCTTTCTTCCACGAGTTTTTCAAAACTATTGTTGGTAAATGAAATACCTCATGGGACGGGTAGGCCATTAACAAGGAGAGCATTGTCGATTGATTAGGCTGCTTGAACAATTTCTTTATTACCGGTGATAACGATTTCCGAGGTCTCTTATTACTTATAGGGAAGGTTTTCGACAATCAAAAGCTCTCTTGTCAGCCAAGGAACATGAAAACACAAACACGTCTCTCCCAGTGACCACTTATGTACCGTAAACAGCTTTTAACCTTACTATAATAATTGTAAGTCACGTGTGGACAAGCAGTGAACTGTCGAGATCGAAGAGTCTACTACACAGAGACTTTTCAGTCCATCTGGACTTATTATTACGCATATAAGTGGGCTCCAGGACCAATTTTGTGGCTATTTTCGCCCACTCCTATGGTCCCTAGTGCCAGTACAAACAAGCTGTTCCTTATCAACAGCCAGCTTCACGCCCAGACTTACGTTCTGATAACTGCCCGCCTGGACTTATCACCGATTCATCGCCTTGACTTCTATGAATACCTTTTAATATCGCACTATTCAATCCATATACACTTTCAACATGAAATCATGACTTTTCTACGATTTGAGTTGGAACTACCGTTGCTTCAGAGCTTAGTCCATACGCTAATGATCGGTGTGATTCAGAAACACTTCACCGAATCGGCTCTTATTTTGAGTTCTCCATGTAAACAAATAAACAGACACAAAAACCTTCGATTTATATATAGTAAGGCTCATTTCATTCGCCTTGAGCCCATTCCATTTCAATTGTGTTTATACTTTTTACGCTGAAACTATGTGGAGGCGGTAGAGTCGCTCGATATATGCAGCTAGAGGACGCTCTTTTCCATCTAACCTATGGACCTTACTTTTGTTCCAGAGGTCATAGTTTGAATAGGACAGGACGGGAGACGGGCGTTAGTAACGATTTTGGGTAATCGATTCGCCGCACGCGGCTGTCGCGGACCACTCATTCGCCGTTATTACAGCTCTAGCGTTCTTCATACAGCTCAATCGATATGCNNNNCGACGCGGCCATTTCATTCCTAATGCACCACACCCGGACAGGACAGTTCAGCTCTACAGACGTCTACATTTCCTTTTTAAGTGTATCTCGTATAGTGTTTCCTCCTCTGTGTGCGAAACTCCGGAGACAATTTGTGGACGGAGTATCCGTCTGTAATGCGCCATGTATTCGGTATTTGTGCTTGAAATTGGTAGAGTTACTTCATATGGGTCTGTACGGAGAGGGGTAGAATCTGTGAATCAAATAATGGATATAGATTTTCTTTGTCGATTTTAGTATTTTGTCAAGTGACCTTTGCCTCCAATACAGATTTGGAAGAAGGTGGGACCGTCAGACCCCATCTATATTGAACCTGCAGAATTTGGGAGAGCTTTTATCGTTCATAGTTCGTTTTCGCCTCTACAGCACTCCATCCAGTCTCGGACTACCAAACACTATAAAGTAAAGAGGCCGAAACAGGCTATACTACATTCACGATTCCGTTGAAGTAAACTCTGAGTTGCTTTCCATTGAAAATTCGCTTTCCTCGTGCTATTTTTTCATTTTTCTTTTAAATCTTCTATCTACTATCATATCTTTTATCTATTCATTTTTCTAGGTGCCGCTTCGGGTGTTAGCTGAAAGTCATGTGGCGTCGGCTCACAGCCTTCGCTTCGGTCCTTGTTGTGGCCTTCTGTCTGCTACACCCACCTGACACAAGTCCATCCCAATCGATATTCGACTTCATAGAGGCAATCAGGAAAGTAAGTCGTATAAAAGTTAATGTAGCCGCACTATTCTCTCACCGTTCACTATAAATTCCATATGTTAATGATTAAAAAGTTGACGGTCAAGGTTCTGACCCATGGCAATGATGCTCTTTTTCTCTTCTCTATGTTTGTATTTATTCAAAATTGAGTCTGTGCAGAAAAGCAGCAATGGCGTATCCGAACGAAGCCATTTGCCAACCAAAGAAGATGTCCAAAACATTGCTCAGCACCCACCAGAGCCGGATATCAGAATTCCAGAACATATCAGGTAAGGCAAAATTAAGTTTCTCGTCTAAGGCTTCAGTTTTTTAGAGATTATTGAGACTTTATAAATCCAGCATTTTTAGGAAAAAGCGGCAGTCTTATCAGGATTATTTGGACAATCTTGGTCGCGCTGACTACGATGTTCGAATAGAGGAAGGTATGGCAAACTATTCATTTCACTCTTCTTCATAATTACTCTATTCGGCGTAGTTCTTGAAATGATGAGAACGGAACTGATTGAAAGCTCTTTTTATGGTCAACACAAACCACCCTTTGCATCTCCATTTTGAAACTTCTTCTATGTATACAAGCCTTCGGGCTACGTTTGATTTTGAAGGTCATCCGATTCTGAATAAACCTAGAATTGACTGAATACATCGTTCGAATAGCTTTAGATCTTTATTTTAAGAACTAAGTTGATTTCCAAAAAGACTTGAGAAAAAGTGGCATAAGCAGATCTAGCTCACCGCAATGGCTTCACCTAGATACGGACGGTTGGGAGTAAAAACCTTGTGACTGTAACTAATGTAACTGAGGAGGCTCGATTGCTTCTTCAAAAAACTTCGAAAAGAACTTGGGCCTGCTAAAAAATTATAAATGAGTTCAAACAAGCGGTTTGAGTAGTAGATCGAGAATTCACACTAAATGGTCTTGCCTCATTCTTTCAACCTCGGCTTGTCCACCAATAAGAGTGTTCAATTCCATTAGAACCTGGCCTTTACCTACTACCTACCTTGAAGTGGAACTAGTGAAATACCTCTTAATAGCCTCCGTTGCTTTTGCAGAAACCCAAAAACAGTCTGGTAATGAACCGAGTAATGGAACAACATTCCCCGTTTCACCTTTTTTTCATTTTCTTCCCATGGCTAACGAACTCCTCAAATATGGTCTAACAGTAAGTGTATGATCCTAATAGTAGATAAAAGCTTAGGATGGCAAAATATCCTCTACCCATTTGGTGCATGGGCAATGGACGAACAGCTAATGGGCCAAGCTGGACGAGAAACCCAAACGAATCTCGGTTTTGATTGTCCGTTCTTTGGTTTCAGGTAAACAAAACAACTATCTTACCGTTATTCACAGCCGAATACGGTGATCATTGCCTCTACTATTCAGATTCAATTACACTTTTGTTTATCCCATGGGTATGATTTCATTTGCGATGCCTTCGTTCACCACACCGCCATGGACATTTCCAAACCCAGCGTGGCCGAAGCAACGAGTAATTTTTATGTGATAAAAAACCAGCTTTTTTCATTTCTTAGACAGCTGAAGTATCGATTAATGTTGACTTTCACATCTGTTTTTTTTTNTTTTTTTTTGATTTTTATGTGCTGTCCATTTTCTGACGATTTTACCCATTGCGTTGCCCTGACTGACTCATAGCTTACAGCCTTATTCGTCATTCAGTCTTCTCTAATCAAATAAAATTTGTGTGATAATTATGAGTAATCGATTATTTCGATGACGTCAGTGGTTTGTTTTGTTTAGGATCACTCCTTCATCGCTCCGTTCTATGCTGATGCGATGTACCAATGGATCGGGAACACAAAAATCAGCAACACTTTCTATAGGAGTGTTCATCGTCCCAGGGTAAGTACCCGAAAAGTCGAGCTTCTATATGTAATTTTTTTGTTTTATTCATTTATTTATTTATTAAATGTACACAGCTACAGTAACAAACAAAGAAACCGAAACTGTTACGAACTCGAACAGCAGAGAGGTTACGAACTTTTCACTTCTAGGGCATTTATAGAATGGTCTTGGGGGTATGAACTTTCCTGACAGTACTCTAAGAGCCACTAACTCGTGGAGGTTGAAGGAAGTAGTGTCCTTGGTGGCTATGAGAATCGATTGCGCAAATCGCTCAAATTCATGGGTTCTAGCTCCTCGGGATGGGTTCTCACACCTCCCCGCTTATAAGCTTGTTGAGCTGTCGATGGTGTGCCAAGCTTTTATCATGTTGTCGGGGATTGTTATCACTTGTGCAAGTTGTAATTAGACGCTGACTAAACAAATGAGGTCATTTGATAGCATGGGATGTTGCAAAGCAACATTATTCGAGTCACTGGCAGCAGAACTGAGGAAGGCTAAGGAGGAAGACAGAAAATCGATCGATGAGTTGATAAATTGTTAAAATAATATGAATAATTTAGCTAGACGATGACGAAGTTTACAATAGCAACAACCCAAACAGCTACGGTACCAACCAGAACAACCCACAGCAACAATACAACCAGCCGGTGCAGTACGGTCAGACGTTGAACACGAATCCACTCTATGGCCAGCAGTTCGGGCAGGTAATTACTTTGCAAAGATAAAGAAGAGATACATTCTTAACTACCGATTCTACTGAAAGTAGTGTTGGATGGGGCAACTCTGAGTGGCAAGTGCATGGCGTATTCCGCTTGTAGATTGTTCAAGGCCTTGTCTTCGATAGTGCTGATGTTTTGCTTTTCAGAGTTCCATCTATGCCCAGCAGAATGTCTATCAACCACAGCAACCGTACAGGAAAAAACGGCAGATGCCTGGGCGTATCAGCCAGCCTGGAATGGTTGTTGATCCGTTGCTGTTGGATAACATCACCCAAACCATTCAGGTAAGGGTCGTTCAAATTTCTGAGAAATATCGGATAGCAATAGCTGACTGTAATATCTCTTTTACAGGAGGGATACACAGGTGCCAATGGTTGGCGTGCAGAACATGCTTTCATCGTTACATGGTATCGGGTAGGTTGAAATTTCAGAATATAGCTCAGAAAGTCTCTGCTTAGTTTGGGAATCCTTGGGAATTCCGTTCGCTCAAAAACACTACCGTCAGTATCTTCCCAAACTGTGCATACACATATTCATACACCTACACACATATACAGGCGCGCACAAATACCAGTGTGGGTACTTCTCCCCGAAAATCGCGTCGCGCTCGCTGCACCCGATCGCGGGCATCCGCGCGCATTGAAGGGAAAGGTTTGAATTCTTGGTGTGAGGATACGGTTGTCGCCGCGGAATCATTCCCGCTTGCCGATGGGAATTTGGGAAGAAGTACCGCTACCCATACCAACACAGATATCCTTGCACACACACACATATGCTGTCGCGCCGGCGGTGACGCCTTGCTCCTCGCTACACGTTGGCATCGGTATTCGCCGCTTAAGAGCGGCGTCGCCGTCGGCGTGATTGCCTGATCATGGTTTTGCGCTGCGCTCGCTCTCGCCCCATTTGCCACGCGGGATACTAATTTGGCCATAGCGGCCCCTGCGCTGTCCCTGCACTCCTACCTTTACCCTACGCGTGCTACTTCCTATGACCCGGGATGACCTGCCACAGCCTATCCTCAACATTCAATCCAGATGTAACTTTCGCGACCTCATCGTCTACAATCTTAAACAACTAACACAATACTATACGCAGCCTTCATGAATACGCCAATAAAAAAGGAATGTTGATACGACAATGAAAAGAATTGGTAAAAGAGGAATGCATGTTATATACATATATACATGAAAAAGAACATGAAATACGCTCACGAGGGGAGGGCGACGTGGCTCGGGACCGCTCGGTACCTTTGGGCTTCCATGCCCAAGTCGATCACACCACATTCCATCGGATTGCAACACACTTCCAAGCTCGAGCGGTACGACGACAGGACGACGGGCAGTGGCGGCCGGCCACGACGATGGATGCACACACACTGCCGGATGGCATTAGGCCAGAGCACGCGTCGAGTATAGCCGACGCGCATTCACCGATACGCTGTGCGCGCCGGGACCCCTGCGCGCCTGACCAGGCGTGGCCCTTTAATAAGTCGGGCGGAAGCCACGACATATGCATACACATACTTATTCATGAGTGGTAGGTGAAATCGAAGATTAATTTTTGGTATTTTTGTTTCATTTTTGAAATAAACAAAGTGTTTGTAACGAAATGCTTCCTGTCCTACTTTTAGATGGCCTATGGAGGAGCCCCGAGAGCACTTGATGTGTCACAGTTTGAGCACGTGAAAGACTGGCAGAATACCTTCCAATTGGTCATCGCCACCGATGAAATAAGGTAGTGATGTGGGACAACATGAAAAAGAATTGATAATAGCATTCCAGCTCTATTTGACAGTAACTTTACGAGTTTTATAGGACATTTGCCATCTTCAACTATGCTCGGCTCAACTGGACAACTAGTAATGAAGCCGGAGGTAACATACATAGCCTTATAGGAAGACAAGCTTCTATCACGGTGTCTTTCCAGGTCTGAACGGTTTCGGAGGAAAGCAAGCTGCTGTGGCCGGATTTAATGGCGGGAACGGTACTGGCTGGTACCAACTACCGTACTCTGGACACGGTATGATATCCCCAATGCACATCAATTCAACTCGACTACCATATGCATGGTCATTTAGCTGGGGTAGTACTAGTAGGGTGCACATTTTTCGGGGATGGGGAGGTTCGTTGAAACGTTGAAATTCCCGTTCTGTGGGACGGAGGATGAGCCTGCTGGTTTCGTGTCCAAACTACCACGTTCGCTGGGCTGCATGCGGTGAATCCTTTTTAGTTGTCTCGGTGCTTTAAACTGTAACCACCATATTCGGCCCGATTCCCCTACAGTCGATTAGACCTATCGTTTTCGCTACCTGCCTTGCTCTTTCTCATTTTTATGAGTTTCTTTCTCAGCTTTTCTTGTTTTCGTGTTATCCTCTATCAGTAGTAATTTATTAATGCAGGTGTCCGATCATCCATTCCAATTTTGACGATTAGTCACACATTGCGCGCTCTGATCAACCATTGTATTTTGCGATAGGCAACGGTGGAAAGGGCCCACGGACAACACGAACTTGCCCCTTTAAATGAGCCGGTCATGCCTATTTTTCTGCCATCGTCTGTCGTACTCCCGTTAAATCGAGTCTTTTTTGCCTGGCTTCTCTGACTGATGACACCATCTTTAACATCAGACGGCAGAGTGCGTAGAAACTGCGCTAGAGCGCAGAGATGATTTCCTCCCGTTCTAGAATTTAGGAGAGGAACTTCGAGCCGGGAGAGACGATTATCTCGAGCAAAAAACTGGGATGGGGTAAGAATTGAACATTCAATTGGCTCACCCATCCCGGAGCTACTCTCCTAACTTTCAAAAGGAGAAGAGCTTTGGGATGGGTGAGATGATTATCTCGAGCGAAAAGCTGGGATGGGGTGAGAATTGAACGGGAATTGTACGTGCCGCGCGTCCGTCGGAGCTAGATCACCCCGCCTACTTTGAGCGCGACGCAGCCCACTGCGATCTCGAGAGGACATTACAGTACCACTCATTCTTAGTGGAGCAAATAATTTGCACTAGTCCGTGTTATCTTCTATTTAAGATGACTGCCGTGGACCAAGCGCTAATCGTTGCCCCACTGACAATTGCGACGTCTGTCAAAAATCGCGCGGTGACACGCCGCGTGCGACTGCGGCGTGACCTAGTTTCTACGGACGTGCGCAGTGGAGCGCGCCTGATTTGAACATCTGGCTCACCCACCCCAGAGCTCCTTCGCGAACTTCGAGAAAGAGGAGGAAACCATCACTGCACTGTAGCGCGGTCTCTATGCACTCTGCCTACTCGTGTCCGAGACGCAGGGCCTAAAAGGGCGCTGGCACCCCCAACAACATTTCCACCGAAATTTGATTTGAAAATTGATGTGCCAGAAATAAGAGTCCACTAGTCGACGGATTCAGTGCTCCAGGTACGAAATTTTCGTATCAAAACGAATATCTACCATGAACTCTATTTCTTCATGCCACTATGACACAAGCTTCACAAATAGGATGATAGCGTAGGCTAACTGTGATGGATTCGGTTCTGTGCTAAATTTCACTCTTTCATCCCCGCTCACTATCTACCGTATCCAGCGTCTATAGTCAGCGTCAAGCTTTGCCCACTTTCGATAGACCGTACGGTGACGCGAAACTGATACGGTGTGACAGGTTGCATTGCAGCTACTTAGTATGACACTTCACGCTGCATTCCATTTGGCTTTAAGTCTCACTGGTATCTGCATATTTCAGGACGTATATGGAAACTTGGCTACTTTTCCAATGTCCTCACACCTGGCCGATGGATTCACCGTATCGATGAAGTGATCATACCAGCAGGATGCACAAACGCATCAACCGGTAAGTTTTATCAGCACACTGGTTTGTCTGTGTGCCACTAATCTGATTCTTCTGAAGTAAATCAAACGTTTATAACTACTTAAGTTTAGCCCAAGGATATTGACTGCATCGGCTTTCCTTGCATGTTTTTTCAATATCAAATCAATTTCCATGTGTTCGACTAGCTTCATATTTCATTTTACTGATCCTAATTAAACACATTGCACCCCCACTGGTTGATGATGTTTCGAAGATGACTTTTAGGAGGTATGATCACAGCACCTCCATGGGGCCCTATGCAAGGCGGTATGGCTATAAATGTTTCGGGACCATGTCTGAGGCCTAATGATAACATCAAGGTAACCTTCTTGTTTGTTGAGTTCCTTATATTTATTTTTTAGCGTTCAATGTTTATTTCATGTCCAAGTAAGTAGCCAAATGGCGATAGGCACCAGGAAAATTGGTGAATCAAAATTTATATGGGGCACAGGAGAAGCAAAGAGATCATGAGTAATAAAATGCTTTTTTGTGACACTAACCGTCTCATGGCCTCAGAGAAGTGGCTCTCAATGAACACCCCCAAAGGTTCTGACTTGCCATCGACAGCAAGTGCTTATGCTCGTGCACACGGGTCCTTCTTCTGAGTTGTGAAACCGAATTTTTATGTTGATCAGCCTGATCAGCTCTTACTCTCTTATAACTCTTCATCTCTGTTGGCTAACTTGCTGAGCACCTTCACATCTTTTCAGGTCAACTTCGAAAATTGGCAAGTGGACTGTAAACGTCTGAACCGAGTCAGAGCACGCTGTATCATGCCAATGTTTCATAAAACTGGTCTTGTCTCAGTTCGAATGAGCCGTGATGGTGGTCAAAGCTTCCCGTTCTTTGGAAAGTTCTACGTAGGTCAGTTGCCGTCCATTCTAGCAAAGGCCAGGAAGAGCAAACGAGCTGGTATGATTCGCGTTCAGATGCGTCACGGCAGCCGAGGCAGCCGTGACGCACTCGCACGCGAATGGAGTGCGCTGTCCACACCCTCTCCAAACCTAGTTTAACACTTGTTAGTGCTTATCAATATCTGTTATAGTTGTACCTGATCGAGCACCTGCTCAAATATCGCTGAAGGATGATGTCGACGATGTTAATAATCGATGGTCTGTGTTTTATAAGTTTTTTGCCAATGTTAGTGACCAAGCTTAAACTTTGCAGGTATCAGCCGTATGCCGAAACGCTTACGATGTCTTGGCAAGCGTTGAATTTAACATATAACTTTGGTGCACGAGTGGATATCAGTCTTTTCGGCTACTGGGAAGACGCAGATCGGTTAGCCGTTGCGTTATATATCGCACTGATTATTTTGAGAGAAGAATTTTTTAGGTCTCATTTTGTCCAAGTGGACTATCTAGCAAAAGGTGTTACCAATTCCGGATCGTACACATTCAAGCCAGCCTCTCTTCAAAGGCAACCGCTGGTCAAGGTAAGTTCATGACTCCTAGGAGCCCTGAACATTATAATTTCTCGCTTTGCAGAATGCTTGGCAAAAGTTCACATTCGGATTTGTGCGAGTATCATTGTCGGATAGCGAAGATGGGGTTTTATGGAGCAAGCCGACGCCATTCCCTTGGTCAGTACTGATCCACATTGATTTCTTTGCTATCTATAATTGTGCCATTGATAGTTGGTTGTCTCTAAGCTACTTCAGAGAAGCTTTTGTTATAGGTACTACCTACCGGATTGGAAGCAGCATTATGGCTTGAACTGGGCTTTGGACATGTGTATTGAGTGGTTCGAATACGATGGCAAGCGTAGAAACTTCCAGATGGATCTCACGCAGGATACTCCTTGCCCATGTAAAATGTCTCAGGTATAATACACTTTTATGACTTGGCTGGATTCCAAACTGGTACTGTGGAACCTTGCTATTCTGTCGAAGTAATTGCTAGAAAAAAAGACAGCTGGGCTCTAACTGCAGGGATTCCTTTGTGAAACCTTATTTCCTCAACTCCAACTTTGAACTTTTGCAGTAAAATCCGCTCATTTTGTAAATTTGTAGTCAACGGTAACAGACAATGCTTTATACTCATAACACAAAATTACAGTTTTTTAGCCTTCAAAACACCAACGTGTGATTATTGACGGGATTAGATTAGATGATTGCAAAACAGTGGAAGAGATAAATCTTGTAAGAAGCAGTCACCTTTACACTCATTTCAGGCTCTGCTTGATCTTGGCAGATACATGCCAATTATGGATTGCGATAAAGACGGCGATACATCATGTCCAGTCAACAAGGGGGCACAGCATTGCATCCAAGGAGTTCAGCCAAGGTAGATAAAGACGCTTATTTTGATTGCTGATTATTCAGCTTTCGATAAAGGAAGCAGCGATCGACATGATTGCCGAGCGCACTTACGTGCCTTTATTGAAGACTAACTATGCGTCGTTTATTCTCCAAGTTTGTTAATACACTGAACAGCTTTAAATTTCAGTTCTGCTGGCTCATCTCAACAGTGTTGCTATGATTATGACGGTTATCTCATGTTTACTGATGATTGGGAACCAGATGGTGACTATAACAGGTGATAGATTTTTTATGAATGAAGCGGTATGGTAGCAGTGTGGGTCTATCCTCTAAATATTTTAGAGTAATAAATATAACTATTCTTTACGAAAATTTCAGATTCTATCAACCAGGAACACCGGCTCGCGCTCACAAGTTTGGTGCCTCACCATTCCGACAGCCACCTTTCATTCCAACCATGTCAAACTACCAGCTAGATCTTATGCCGTACCGAACATGCTGCACGTAAGCTTTTCTACAAGTTCTTCTATTTCTGTGTATGGTAGATTTTCTAGGAAAACCATTAATGTTATTGTGTGGGGTTCCGAAATAAACGCCAGCTCTATCACCGTATTCCTTCACGGAGTCGTTTATCAGTCTTCATCAGTTAAATCCCGATTTTCTGTTCTAGATCCGCATTCGGTCCTTATTCATATGCATAGTTAGATTTCTCAACAAGCAGACAAGGCAGTTTGATTCCTCTTAAAAATGATTCCACGTCAATTTGCTCAAGTCTAGTCTTTTGATGCTCTTAGTTCGTAATGGGCGTCCATACAATTGTCCCGAACACAGAGAGCAAATTGGTGTTCTCATTACTTACCTCTTTGGACCTGTTCTTGCATAGTTATTGTGTTGCTTTTTCAAATTGTAACTTTCAACTCAACTCTGAACATTCCGCTTTTAAGTTTGCGAAATTTACAAAACCACCAGATCGACTTTATACGATTCTGCTGTTTTTTGAGGTTCTTGCCTTCACGTTTACCTTCGCGAAATTTCGTCCTTTTTCCAGCTTGGGCATCACCAATTTGGGCTTTCTATTTTCTGAAGTTTCACACATACCATTTTTTCAGGTACGCTCAACATTGTGAATTCTATTATTGGCGTCGTATGACGAACGGATGTCAAGGTTACAAGGCACCAGCTGCAGGGTTAGTTGTCTTTCTCTATTATTGTATCTGATTACTGATTGTTTCCGTTCACATGTCGTATGAGTTACGGAATACACTCTTCACTATCCGTCATGCGGCAGCAACTGTTCACTTTAAAGTAATTGTTCATAAATCGGATAAGACTGGAATTGAAAATAGCGCGCGCCCATTTCTCGAAATGGCGTAAGACAGTATTAGTCTAAAAGGAAAGCAAAACAAACTTAGGGTCCTTTAGATTTTCTTGGTCGCCCAGAATAAACGCAACTTATTGCAATCGGCAGAAACTTGCGCTATTTTTTAGTGTTTATGTAGAAAATTCAGGATAGCGGCGTCGTAAGATGAGAGTTTTCAAGCAATATTCCTAACTTCAGATTAGTTAGGCGCGAAAAACAAAACTGGTTATAAGCTTAATTGGTTCTTCCAGATATATGTATGGCGAACCACACGTAGTCACATTCGATGGTGCGAAATATACTTTCCCAGGAAAAGGTTATTTCGTTTTGGTGATGAGCGACGATCCGACTCATAAACTGATGGTTCAAGTGCGATTGGAGCAGCCGGACGACACGTTATGTTGGTTTCTAGTCATAACGAAACTATTTATATCGTGCTCCTTACAATCCATCCAAACCTATAAAGGCGACAAAAATCTTTGATAGGCCGATGTCAGTGGTTCAAAAGGGAAGTTGAACTCAAAAAATGAGCCCTTGGGTTAGTTTCATGAGCAAAAGGGTATTATTGATGAAGGATTCATGGACGGGAACACTTTCTAGCAAAAAAGTGTTCTCGTCCATGAATCCTTAATCAATTATCCTTTCGCATTCTTTAATTCAACTCCTCCTCTGTGACAGCCATCTGAGAGGGGACCAAGTATCACTCGAGGATTGATTCAATTGTTTGTCGTCATTATGCATATGTATGTTTCTACTTCCTCGGCCTGGTACGAACACCTTTGAACTTGTAGAGAGCAGTGATTTCAAACAGGTGCTCATAGATTGTTCGCATTTGTACCTATGCGCTTATCAACTCGTGCATAAAACCTTTGACCATCCCAAACTTATCTGCTCATTCGATATAGGAGCAGGAGGGGAGCATTAAAGAGGGTAGTGCTAGATTCAGTTAGTTTCAGAAGCAAACTAACTTTTCCGCGACCCAGCACCATTATACATATTAGAGAAAATTTTTATGTTCTGAACACATAAATCATCTATATGCCTATTTCAGGGCACTCCCACGTGAATGCGACTGTAATCACCGGTATTGCAGTTCAGGAAAATGACAGCTCTATAGTGCAGGTAGAGCACCAGTTCAATAGTACACCGTCACACTATCTGTACTGTTTAAGGTGTTCGCCCGCAAACCAATGCGCCGTTGGCGATATCGTACTGACGTTTACGTGGACGGAGTACGGCGATTTTTTGACAAACCACACTGGAAGTACCAACAGTTCCGAAGTATGTTCACATGTGTCCAAGTGCTCTATGAGATGCTCCTATTCAGATGTTGATCTCCGCAATCCACTACAGAATATGAATCAGTCTGAGATAATCATAATGCTGAAATCTGGTATCGGTATTCAAGTACACGAAAGTTATGGTATGCTCGATGTTTTGGTGTCACTTCCGCCAAGTTATAATACCACTTGCAAGGTGCTGTATTTTGTGTTTTCCAATGTTTTTAACCTGAGTGGAAATCTTATTTTGCAGCCAGGTGTCACGGCCTCTTCTTCGTTGAATGCGGTGGACGGAACAGCCCGTTGTTATACGACTTTAGGATTACTAGGTAAGTCCATTTACGAGAGTTCATTTTGAGTAGCACTTGCACTAAGATGATAGTGGAGCCTCTAGCGTGGTTACGGGTAACGTTGATGCGATCTCATTCTGTAGGTCGCGCTGAAGTTGGAGCTCCGGTGGGTTCGCCTGGCTATATGCTCAGAGAAAATATGGTCGCTTACTTACACCATACGGCTTTGTTCTCAGCCCGTTCATGGACCTACATGGGCTGCTCTTCCTTGTGTTTAACTTTAAGTATTATAGGTACTTATAATAACGATATAAACGACGATTTGACGTCATCGACTGGTCAGGTTACTCGGTCGAGTGGAGACACATTCACGGCTAGTACAACGCAAATGATCTATGACCAGTTCGGATCCACATGTATGTTCTTTTGAACGAATATTAAAGGAAATTTAAAATTATAAGTAGATAATAATTGTCAATATTTTTTTAGCCTTATTTGTATAGTGGACGGGGATAGTATAGTACAATATAAGCGAGTGGACCTTTATAAAATGTTCTGGGCATCGAATCCGAGATCGATATATGCCCAGGCCGACCAAGTATTCCATCCTCCCGGGGTCGTTTAGTTGGGTCCACACTTGCAGGATATAATCATAGAACAATCATCGATTGATCACCGCAGGCCACTGCCATAAGCATTCAAACCGTTACTGGGTAAAAGCTTCATTTTGGGGCGCATACCAAAACCGAGATATGTTGACGTCGAAGGTTTTATGTATATTAGTTCTACCTCTCCGAAGGAAAATCAGTGTCATTAATGCACATAAAACCTCGTTTCCAGGGAGGGTGGACGGGAAAAACGACAAGATTGGAGCGGTATTATTCAGCGAGCAATTCAAACCAATATACAATCCATTACTATTCGCTTCTACGGATTACACGCCGGTGTTTTGGCCCCAATATCTGGACATGAACGCTTCACGAGTCTTCACGATGGAGCAGGTGTTGTTGTTCTCTACGCATGTTGCTTTTTAACGCTCATAAGCAATAAATTGCTTGAAATATACCATCCTTCTGACGTAGGTTGGGTATTGACCCCCCATTGAGAACCCTAAAGGCATATGGCTCACACAGTATGTAGTTGGAGCTAGTCATGTGATTTGGTTTCCCTAAACTAACCTTCTATTGAATGATGACAGCGAGGAAGGACAGCTTTGTTTCCTGACTATTTCTTTTGGTCTTCAAACTACGAAATGAAAGGGTACAAACCTATGTCTCTAGGCGCTGAGCAATTTTGAGCCTTTTATTTTATGTGTAATCGTATGAATACGTCGAAGATCCCCCGCCGTTTTTCAATTTTGGTCTTGTCGGCTCAATTTACTAATCTCTTTTGAGCTTGTCGATTACGCTTTTTTATTCATGTGATTTGTGGATGTTTCAGGTGACAAGTACCTGTCAAGGTGTACCACAATGTGAGTACGACTACACAATGACGGGGCGAAGAGAGGTAGGGCTCACTACGCTGCGAAAACAAAAGAACTTCTTTGCCATGCAAAAAAGTGGTTCCAAACAGCGTGAGTTTTCTTTTTTGATGGATATAGCGAGTCGACTGAGGCGCAGTGACATTTTGACATTTCCTGGATTTCCCGGCTGGAACCTCAGAGAATAACTGAATGGTTTAGTGATATCGTGCGGACCACTGCTCAAGAAGGAAGGTGTCGTTAAAACTCCTGCGAACGGGAATTACCTCGACGGTGATTCTGTGACCTTCTCATGCAAACCAAAATATTACATTCATGGTGATATTGAGAGAACATGCCGTAATGGTACGTGGTCACCAGGATGGTGGGCATGGTGTCGAGGTGAGTAAAATACGACTGCAAATCAAAACTGTATGATGGGTTGATGATGTTTCGTATTGGAAGTTTTTTTATTTATGATTTTAAGATCGCAATCTTGAGTACGCCCTCAAATGGATGACTGCGCTACTGTCAATTTTCGGTGAGTTCCTTTTTCCTAAGGTGCGGTGCATTCCATTTTTTTTT